TGCGAGGCCGCAAGGCAGCCGGAGGGGTTTACCGGCCAGATACCAATGGCTTGGTCAAGCCATTCGGGATGAGCCTGGCGTTCCTGAGTCTGCTCTTCGCCGTGCTAGCATCCGGATGTCAACTGTCCGACTTGCCAGGTAAAGAGCGGGAGTTGACCTCCTGGGTCTATGGTGCGTATTTTTTCCTCATCGAGTGACCTTCCATGGCTGATCGTCTTCCAGTTTCCTGCGCATATCAGTGTTTGCGAATGTTGAACTATGTGTCGCAACCGACGCTTGAAGTGATCCAAGTTCTGTTGATTATAAGTCACGTCTTGTCCTATAATATGAACGCGGGCGCGTCATACACGTTGCTAGGTGAGCGATCTTCTTGCTTGGCAGCTTCCATGACTCCAAACTCAACGACATGCTCGCAGGGATGACGGAGCGCATGTGTATGGTCCTCGGTCTTCATGTCGAATCATCTGGCTTTGCGCGAGAGCTTCAAGCGGCTCGCAGGAGGGTGTGGTAAGTGCCATCCCGGTTACTTTTAACCCACGACTGGCAGCATTCTCACGATGCTCAACAGGTGGGCAATGGCTTTCCAGAACAGTCATTTCTCCTTGGCATACGATCGGCCATCCATTACGATGGTTAGTCAGCCGGAAATTCCCTATGATCCCAAATCGATGCCCGGTCATCGATCGTATTTTGAGTCACTTTGCCGGCTAGTTTCTGTCATTCTGGAAGTGCTGCGGATGCGAATGTATCCACATCATTCTCAACTGCGATATCACGAGATTAGAGAGTATAAGCAGCGATTCGGACGAATCATCGCCGAAGGTGTCCCGCATTTGCGCTCTCCCGACCATTGCGCCACTTTGGCGGATCATATAGAGCGAGCAGAGTTACGTCTGCACTCGTCGTACTTTCTTTCCCTACTCTGTCGCGTTTCGTTAGACCCGGACGCGCATCTGGACGATGAGCGGCGGGCGATAATCCGCGAGGATTGCCTGACGAGTCTGATGAACACGATCGATGCATTTGTCGAGCTGCATTCGTTCAACCCGCACTGTTCCCGGACTTGGATCAGCCTGCAGCGCACAATCGCATCTGCATTTCTGCTGGCTGCACATCTCGAGGACCGATATCGTGCTCGAACGTATGACCTCATTCGGAGGCTTGAACTTGTCCTGGCGGACCATGTGTACGCCGGAGGACAGGAAAATCAGAACAGCCAGACGGAGTCTGCGAAACACCTTGCCTCGTCGCTCCGTGCCCTCCGGCAAATCAGCGCTGCATTGCGTGCTAAGGAACCCGAGGGATTAGGATCGGGCTCCGAGACCACGAACACGGTTTCCAGCATCACTACCCCAATGCTGATCCCTGCGTCCTCACCACCGGTCATTCTCGGCACCACAGCAGCTCAGTTCTCCGGATACGTTCCTGCGCCGCAGGGGAAGAACATGCGTACCATCCTCGACAGCGTGTCCGACGTGATGTTATTCCCCAGTATGGGCATGGCAAATTTATGACACGAGATAGAAAGTCCTTTCGTACATTTAGCCCCGCATTTTTCACACGTACCGATCCCTTGAGATTATGCGTGGTAGGCAAATCCCATCAATCCCACATATACCCGTTTAGATGATCGAGACGCATTTTCAAGGCTGTTTTTGAGCGTATGATCTTACCATGCCTCTGGCACTTTTTTAAGCAACTGTCGCATTGCCTCACTTCTCAAGCAAACCTATCCGAGAGTACCTTACAGGAAGGGTGGGCGTCCCCCCGAGTGCTCATGGTAGGAGTTAGCGAATGAGTGATCAACTCCGCGGTAGTCAGTTGGGCAAGAGCCGTATTTGTAGTAGTCGACGAGGGGCTACCGATCCCTCATGCACTGCAACCATGTGCCCCCTGGATTGTTCTCCACGAGCCTATCCTCGGAGATCGCCATGAGAACCGCTGGGTGACTGGACGCGGATGGGGTTTGTGCTTAAAGCCGACCGAGGTATTCCCGCTTCGGCCGACGACGAATCTGTTGATTGTCTGACATTATTCACTTTGCAGATACGTTCAGGTAGGTATCCGTACTTAGGTACTCGGTACGTGGTAGGCAAAAGGAGCCGAGCCTGAATTCCTGCTGGTCCATTCCTTTTCGCTTTGACGTTGTGATCCATCTTCTCCCATTCGAGACAGAGGACCTATCCACCAGCTCTTCCTACATTATCCCTTTCCAGACTAGGACTGGACACTTCTCCAAGTTCGTTGAAACCTGACATCTACTTACTTCGGTTACACTGAGATGATAGATCCACTCCATCCGTCCTAGCCGCATATAATAATACCCACAACCGATATATGAGTTATGACCATAGACAAGGGGAGGCCGGCTGGAATGGCTACTACTGACTACCTAGAGTCGCATCTCATGATGTCGCATATCGTAAGGGAGCAACTTGCCAACCTTCATTTCATTCCGAAGCCACTCTGCAGCAATCCAGCAAATCATCAAACAGAACTAACCAACTGCTTCCTCCGAGCGGAGTTCTCGGTCCACCCGAGAATAGATTACAAGGGCCCTGTCGAGTGAGTTAGTCTCCGTCGGGTAGACAGCCCAGACCCAAGGAACAGACACCGGAAGGTTACAGGGCCAAGACTGGGGGAGAGGCAAGTTATTTACATGCCATATCATTATTGAGTCCGACCGTGGCTTTTGGCCGTTTGACTAACTCCAGTGGACCTTCAGAATGCGGGGTTTCTCATTAGAATTGCCCACCTGTTCAGTACAGAGTAGTTACCAGTGACAACCATTGCTCGATCGTCAAAGACGGATTCGATTTCGATCGGACTTCATCTTTTCTTAGCTGTTGTTGTTACGGATACATCCGTGATTTTCGGCTCCGAGGCAGGAACTAAGACTGTCAATCTGACACAAATCGGACATGGATGTTGCATAATATGGCGCCTGCTCGGGATTTGGCTCACTTTCTAACGCTGCATTCTACAGTTCTATACAGCATAGGTTGAATGTGGGATTGGACAGCGTGTGGTGAATATGTGATGGAAGCTCTCGGATCCGAGATACGAATGTCGACCTGGATAACGTATCTGTGCCTCCCCACACACCGCAAGTGGGAGACGGAGTGACGCTAGCATGACTCTGTGCCTTGCTTGGGATTCCCTGGTCGGGACCACTGATCAGGTCATCTTTGCATTTCGATCAGCTCGACCCTTGTGTCTGAACCATCACAGTGGGTCGCGTCTGCTTCTGATAAGACGGAGGATCGTGCCATCAAGCGCCGGATCGCGATCCCGAATTCAACCGTACGCAGCAATTATTCGCGGCCATTCGCCAAGTGGGATCAACTAATTCAGGTGGTGAGCGAGATATTGGCTGTAGCCCATGGAGCCAACAGAAGTTTTATGGAGTTTCTGAATTGTGTTGCGGCCTGGAGCTCCGAAAGCCCCCATACGCAATGTCAGCGAGGACAAGCCGCGCACTTCACAGCTAACAACATGTCCTGTCAGATCGCCCCGTTATCCGACAGTGAGGGATCAAGATGCAGCTCTTCCTTGACTACCGAGTCCATGCGTTCGTCAATAGTCTGACGCCTTGCGGCTACTTCTCTTGGTCAAGGTGCTATCTGGGTACCTGGTCCGATGAGTCCAATATCGTTGGATGAATCGTGCGCTTGCCGGCTGTACTGCTGTCCTTGCGATTCTCTGGTCTCAAAATTTCGAATATATATCCATCATCGGATTTTATACCTTCGGGACCAGGACTGTGCCAGATCGGACACTGGATATCCAGCTGCTTCATCATGAGAGAGTTGTAGCCCCGTCGGCTCGTCCCACTGACGCATTCATGGGCTGATACCGGGCCTGACCCCGTCGTTCTTGGTGGGAGTGCCCCAGGAAGTGCAAGTGAGCAGATATTATGTAATAAGAGATTCATCTGGGGCCATACAAGGAAATAGGTTGTAGATAGACAACATTCAGCCTCGATTGTGGCCACGTTGGCTCGATCCAGGTCTTTCCATCTGTAGCCGGACTACGAACATCCCTCAGTCCAGATTAAATCATCGGAGCACACTGACATGGAAAGGCTATGAGAAGGATGCATGTGATGGTTGAGAAGCCATTCTATAATCGTTCTTAGAAGCCAACTAAGCAGTGTTTCTTATCACGCTTCGTCCGAGAGTAAGTAAACATCACCGAAAACTTGCGCGATGAGACTGCGAAACTGAGCAGTACAGTGACGAGTCTGATTGCTATTTTCAACTGAATGCAGTTGAGAATCAGATTCACCTTGGCAATTCATTATCGCGAATATTTCGGATCCTCGTTGGGGTGTCGACTGGAGAGGTGAGCTGAAGAATACCATTTCCCCAAATAGGAAAATCCTAGAGTTGACCGTTTAGAGGACGATCACTTGGGGCCGTTAATTCCAAGGACTGCCGTGGTGTTTGAGCTTCTTAGTCCTTTTGTTTCCCCTTCGATTTCAGTGATGCATCGTTGCATCTCGTTTCCTAGATCCTTTCTTCGATGCTACCTTACCAGCCGCATCACCCCTTAATTCTACCAACCTCAAGTCTAGATCCGTACCAACACACCGAGCGTTGAAGATCGTCAGCCGGCATTTTTCGCAATAGCCATGCACTTTTGAATTGCCCATTGCCGTTCTACTCCAGCCTATCTCAGCAATTTGATCGCACGTTCGACTTCATGGACAGAATGCTAGTCTTAAGTCTGGCACGTCACAGTCCGCCTGGGAAAACCCGGCGAGCGTAAGCAAATGATCGGCGTCTTCAGGCTCAGGGGCGGCTTATGCCGATGCATTTGAAGCTCTGAAGCGAAGCATTATTTCCCGTGCTGCGGCGCATTGATCCGCGTTTCAGATTTTGGGGTCGGAAATCCAGATAAATAAAGACTGCTTTACTTGCCTGTCCCGATAGAGATGCGGATCACATATCCTTTGACATCGCTCTTTAGGCGAAAGGCAGTTCGTTGCTACAATCAAAATGATTAGAACGCTCGCAGCTCTCAGTGCTCTATCGGGCCTGGCAACTGCCTGGTTGCCCGAGGTCAACAAGAAGATCACCGCAACAAACGGTACGAACCTCTTCACGAGTTCAAACGGCAAGATCCGAGGCGTGAACCTGGGCTCTCAATTCGTCTTCGAGCCATGGATCGCAGAAAAGGCGTGGTCAGACATGGGCTGCGGCGGCCAGAAATCCGAGTTCGACTGCGTCTCGAGCCTGGGCCAGGCCAAAGCGAATAGTGCGTTTGCGAGCCACTGGGGCTCCTGGATCACGCAGGATGACATCGCCGAGATGGTGAGCTATGGGCTGAACACCATCCGCGTCCCCGTCGGGTACTGGATGCGTGAGGACCTGGTGTACTCGAATAGTGAGCATTTCCCCCAGGGCGGATTGCAGTATCTGGAGAATCTGTGTGGATGGGCCAGTGATGCAGGCTTGTACATTATCATTGATCTACACGGTGCTCCCGGGGCTCAGACGCCCCAGAATCCATTTACGGGCCAGTATGCGCCGACCGCTGGATTTTACCAGGATTACCAGTTCGAGAGGGCGCTGAAGTTCCTCGAGTGGATGACCACCAACATCCACAAGAACGACAAGTTCCGCAATGTCGGAATGCTCGAGGTTGTTAATGAGCCTGTTCAGAATGCTGGCAAGGTTGGCTCGATGCGGACCAGCTATTATCCTAATGCTTTCAAGGTGCGTAGCTCTCATACAAGCACAGAGACAATGCTCACCCTCACGCTTGACCGCAGAGAATCCGCGCTGCAGAGCAAAGCCTCAACATCGACAAAAACAACTACCTGCACATCCAGATGATGGACAAACTTTGGGGCTCGGGCGATCCCACCGAGGCTCTGACTGACACCTACTACGCCGCCTACGACGACCACCGCTATCTAAAATGGGCCAGCGTCGCCGTCTCCAAGGACAGCTACATCAGCACATCCTGCAGCGACGAGCTCAACAGCAACACCCCGACCATTGTGGGAGAATGGAGTCTGAGCGTTCCTGATAACGTGCAGTGGAGCTCTGACTGGTCGCCCAACTCTAACAAGGATTTCTACAAGAAGTGGTTTGCCGCCCAGGTCACGGCGTATGAGAAGCAGCAGGGCTGGATTTTCTGGACGTGGAAGGCTCAATTAGGAGATTATCGTTGGTCATACCAAGGTGGGCTGCCCCTAACCGATGATATGTGCTCAACAGGTGCTGACCCTTTAGATGCTGTTGCCGCTGGCGTCATTCCCGCTGATCTCAACTCTCTGGCCGGCCTGAAGGTGTGTGGTTGATATGTCAAGCGCCTATCGATAAGATGGCAGCCAGTCTTGGTGTTACTTCCCCTATGTATTCCAATAAAGACTGTATATAGTGTGCCTCTAGCTGGATAAAGCACAAGGCATCAAAGTGATCACTCCGCAGCGCCATTCGGATAAGAAATCATTTGCTGTTAATACCTTCCTCCACCTAAAAGCCTTGATAAAGTGCCCATAGAGACAACAAATGTACCGGACCAGGCCCGCCATAAGGCTAGGTGTGCAATTGGTCAACAGCCGGTACCGGCTTGTCTGAAGCGGAACCGGGATGCTTGGATGTAAAAGACGATCTGACAATCACAACCTACATAAGCTCGTCTCTTTTTCACGTTGCACTGCGGCTCATTCAAGTTGCACTGTATTCTCTGAATCTTGACTTTCTGCACAAGCTTTTTCCCCGAGCGCCACCCGGATCGAGTGCAACATGACCAAAACCGCCCTCCTCGTCCTGGACATCCAAAACGGGATCGTCGAGCGCCTAGACGAACCCGATACCTACCTCGCACGCCTCGCTCCCGTCATCAAAGCGGCCCGCGAATCCGACATCAAAGTCATCTACGTCAAGACAGCTTTCCGGGAAGGATACCCCGACACACACCCGCGCAGCGTCATGGGTACTCGAGTCCGAGAATCACAGTCATTCCGCGAAGGTGATATCTCCGTCGAGATCGCTTCCGCCGTGGTGCCGAATGCCAACGAGCCGATCATCACCAAGCGCCGCGTGTCGGCTTTCACCGCGACGGATCTGGACCTTGTGCTTCGCTGTCTGGGAGCGGAGCATTTGGTCGTCGTCGGGCTAATCACCAGCGGTGCGGTGCTGTCAACGGTTCGGCAGGCTGCTGATCTGGACTATCAGCTGACTGTGCTGGAGGATCTGTGCATGGACAGAGACCAGGAGGTTCATGATATTCTGATGAAAAAGGTGCTGTCGAGACAGGCGCGGGTTGTTTCCTCTGCCGAATGGTTGGCAGAACTTGATTAAATGATGAATCTGGTGACAGGACAGGGCGACAGAGCGACAAAATGTCCAGTGCCAAGCTAGGGAGTCTTGCTCTAGTGAAGGCAAAATAAGATGGCAGGAAAGGATCCATTGGTCTCAGTCGAGTAATCTCGTCGCCGTCTTGCGGTGATCGAGTTGAGGCCGCTACAAATTTGTATACAGATTGATTTTATCACAATCAACAGATTCAAGCTGTCAGTGACTAAATCCAGAAGTTTCTGTTGAGTCTTACTGTAAGATCAGCGTGCATACAAATCCTTCCTGCACACAGACACATATTTGGCGTCTCCCTATTTTCTGCTTAGTCACCATCCAGCAGCAACAACAACGCGACTTCAAGTCTGAATTTTTTTTCCCTTTCTTCCTCGCTAATGCTACCATATTATTAGACGACTAGTCCACTCAGTATGGTTTTCCATTGCAATTAATTGCGCATGAGGTTGAGCCAATTGATGAATATCAATAATCATTTCCATCATGGTCGTCGGAGATAAAAGGCCACGGGCCGGGGCGTGCACAACCTGTCGGTAAGATGAACTACACTGAGTACCCATCGGCGTAGGAATAAAGCTGACCAACGCAAAACGCGCTGTTAAGAGTTCGCAAGAGACGCTGTGTCCCTGCTGGTGACAAGTACAATAATTGCGAACTCTGTTTGTCCCTGGCGATTCCGTGCAGCCTTAGTACGGAACCCGGGGTGTTTGCTGCTGCGACAAATGGCGCTGCGGCGGCGTCCCATCACCCTGTAGCGGAGAAGCTGCCAGCGCCTGAACCCCCGCGGGCTCAGATCAAGCCGGTGAGAAGGATCCAGGAGTTACCGCCTGTGGAACCTCTTCTGGACCTGTATTTGCTGGCCACGCCGGCTCTTTTTCTGGAGCTGGTGTCTTTGTATTTTCGGTCTATCCACAATGTTGCGCATACATTGTTCCATGAGGCCAGCTTTATGCGCCTGTTGAATGAAGGCAGAGCGTCGTTGATGCATGTGCATGCCATGTGCGCGCTCGTTGCGAGGTATGTCAGCTGGTGCTTAAACAGTTGCAGAGACTGATCAATGGCAGATTTTCGAAGAATCCTGTCTTTAATGGCGTTGCTCCAGAGTCACGTGGCAAGCTCTATGCTGGCGAGGCCATTCGCTTATTCCAGGAGAGGGTGAACTATCCCAGCTTGGAAACTGTTCAGGGAGCGGTTCTTTTGGGGCATCTCGTTGGGGGAGAAGGAGATGCGCAGGCGAAGCAGGTCTACATCGGCATCGCCCGCACACACGCCGAAGTACTCTCTCTATGGGCCATGCCACCAAACTCCACCGTTGTGCATCGAGAAGAGCGGCGGCGGACTTGGCTTTCCATCCGGATTGCGGACCCGTGGACTATCATTGACATGTCTGTGAATTCGGGAGCTTCTCTCAACAACTTCAATGTGCTCCCGGAGGTAGACGATGTGGCGTTTCACACGTATGACCCGGAACTCTTGCGAGAGGTGCCTGTTCCGTCCTCGTCGAGATGTGACATGTGGGCGCAGATGGCGGGGACGTTGGACATATACACCCGAATCAGCGTCCTTCTTACCCGACTCAGCCGCGGTGTCATCACCTTTGACGCCTATCTCAGCGAGGTCCCCTTGCTGAAAGATAGTCTGGACGGATGGGTTCGGGGTTTGCCTCCCACATTGGCCTACAGCTCCAAGAATCTCGCGTTCTTTGCCAAACAGGGCCTGGGTCGGAATTTCCTCGCCATGCATATTGTTTACCATCATTTCCGGCAAATGCTTTTCTTTCCCTCCCTGGATGCACGAGCAGGGCGAAACGCAGCGTCAACCGCAGACGGCATTGCTCAATGCAGAAAAAGCGCCAATGCGATCTCTGAAATCATCGATTGCTTCACAAAGGTGGACGATTGCCAGCTGGACTACTTCCTTTACGGGCACGTGGCCATCGTCAGCTCTTGTGTCTACATGCAGGCTCTGATTCTTAGCGAGGAGTTGTCGGAGCTGAGTACCGCACGGCTCCATCTAGTCTCGAATTTTGAATACCTGATGGGTTTGAAAACACATTGGCCCGCGGTTCGGCAATCGGTAAGCTTACCATCCCCCAATCAGTTATGCTCCTGATGGCTAACAAGTCTAGATTGCCCGCCTCCGCGACTTTCAAACCACTTACCAAGATACCATGAGCAATCCGTTCAACTTGGACCACTGGCTGGCCCGCTTTGTCATCGAGCATACTGCCATCCTGGCGGAGCGGCAAACGCCCGGGCTACAACCCTCGAGCCTTCCGCAACCATCGCAATACAACACCAGCGACGAGTCCGGGATCCTCGGGCTGACGGGCAGCCTCAAAACCGAGTCTTCGCTTCTGATTCCGCCGTCGCACACCAGAGTGTCTGACCGAGAGAGCGGCAAGCTGTCTGCTCTTCTCAATGACCACAGTCTGACCAGCGAGGCGCTCGTGAACAACGCTCTGAATTGGTTGTTGGAGTAGTTGCCAGTCGGCGCGCAGCTGAGCCGACTCGAGCTGCATCTGCACCATCCACAACCGTCCATAACCAGAAGGGAGGGTATCTGGTATTACATCGCTTCCGGGAATAGACGCTAATGCCTTTCTGGCACTGATCATTATGGAGCCTATCCGACCCTAATGGGGTAAGTGACACCAGATACGACCATACTAGTGGACGACGTCGCGTCCATCTGTGCAGCACAAGCAGAGCCCACCATTGTGAGAGACAGAAATGGATCGGCACATAAGTGTTGTTCATTCCCTATGCTTGAGTCTCGAGTCATAGAACGCAGATACTCGTTTCTCCGTCGTGACCAGCAGCAGCATGTCACGATGTCCCGGGCATTTTGGCAGACTACGCAGAAAATCTGTGCGCCCTTTATAAACCAGGTTTTGGTCTCAGTCGAGATCCATTGATCACTGACGCTCTGGTGGGAGTTGGGTAATGTGTCGAGGAGGAAGTATACGGTATGATATATAAGATCGATCATTGTGAGTGAGGGTTGCACAACAATGCACTATTGTACATGTACATAGAATTATTGACAGATTATAAGCACAAAATAATGCTCAGCCGTGACGGCAATATTCCACATATGGTACCATCCTACTATAATGAGGATCAACCCGCCAACTCACTCAAGATATCATCCGCCGCCTTCTCCGCAACCAAATACGTCGAGACAGCCGTAAACGTCCCCGGAATACGCGGATACACACTCGCATCCACGACCCTTAGCCCCTGCACCTTGCGCACCCGGAACTTGCTATCCAGCACCGCCATCGGGTCGCCATCCGCCCCAATCGGGCAAGTCGAGGACGCATGGTGTCCCCACGCCGTATCCCTCACATACGTCTCGATATCCTCCTGGCTGACAACCTCTGCACCAGGCAGGACTTCCGTGGTGGGGACCAGCTGGCGGCGGAACGCATCCCGCGCAAGCTCGATCCCCTCATAGATCGCCTGCAGGTCTGCGTCGGCGCCGTTGTCGAAGTAATTAAACACGATGGCCGGCGTATCCAGCGGATCCGCGGAGCGCAGGCTGACCGTCCCCGCGGTGTTGCGCGGGTGCGCCTTGAGAATCGCCCAGGTGAACCAGTCGTGGCGCGCGGTGATGTTCACGCTGTAGCCTGGGAAGTATCCGCGGAAATTGACCGGGCCGCCGAAGACGAAGGCGTCGTAGGCGTTGTCTGCTGAGACGGTCGACTTGTAGTACATTGCGGCGGCGAAGCCGGCGGATGAGTAAATGCCCCTGTTCCCCAGTAGAGGCTTGGATTCCCAGCGGTCCAGGCAGGGGTCGCCCTGTTTGAAGGTGCAGCCCTGCAGACTGGTCCAGTTGGATGGGACGTGGGCCTGGACGCCGACCTCGTAGTGGTCTTGGAGGTTTGTGCCGACGCCTGGGAGGTCGGCGACGAGGGAGATGTTGAAGCGGGCGAGTTCGTCGGCGGGGCCGACGCCGCTGAGTTTGAGGATCTGCGGGGAGTTGTAGGTGCCGCCGGCGATGATGACTTCGCGGGAGGCGGAGGCGGAGCCGGGGGTACCGGGTTGAGAGAGGTGGGCGAGCGGGCTGGCGCGGTAGAGGTGCTTGCCGTCGAGGAACTCGACGCCTGTGGCGCGGGGCGGGGAGACGCTGGTGTCGAAGACAACGCGGGTGACGTGGCAGTTCATCCGCACGTCCAGCGGGTACTTCTTGCTGCCATCTGGGTTGGTGGCGTCGCGCACGGCGGTGATGAACTCGCGGGGCCCGTTGCGGCGGCCGTCGGTGCTGGACAGAGGGATCTGGTAGTATCCCGGCTGGGTGTCGCGGGCGAGCGAGTCGGCGTTGGCGTCGCCCAGGAGCAGTGTCCCGAAATTCATGAGTGTGTGGGTAATGTTACCCAGGGCAAAGGCGCCGCCTGTCAGCAGGCTGAGCAGTTGCGGGTCTTTGAGAACGATGTCCAAGGGCGCTGTGTCGGTGTGCAGCCAACCGTCGTAGCCGTGGCCCTTTTGGCCGGGGAGGAGGTACTCGTTGTGCTCCATGCGAACAAAGTACTGCCGCATGTTGTCCGGGGACCATGAGCTGTCGCCCGTCAGCGTGGCAATGTACTCAAAATCGGAGCGGTCTGGATAGACGGCAATCATGGCGTTGTGTGCGGTGCAGCCCCCCAGCGTGCCTGTACGGGGATATAAGGTCCCCATCATGGTTGAATTGGCCGGCGGGTTGAGACCGGTATAGATGTCACCGTCGGGGGTCTTATAGCTGGTCTTGAAGTCGCGTCCCTGGCGCTCCTCGTCGGCATAGTGGCGCACGAAGAAGTTCCAGGCCATCTTCTCGTCCTCGGAGGCCAGGGCCGAGTATGCCGGCACGCTGTAGTTGACATTGAGCCCTTGGTCATCGCCTGCTTCGATCAGCAGCGTCTTGTGGCCGGCGAGAGCAAGACGGGCAGCCAACGGACCGCCTCCAGCGCCGGATCCCACGACGATATATTCATACCCGGTCAGATGGACAGCGGAGGTCAGGCCAGCGGCCAGCAGGCTCAATAGCTTGAGTTTGCAACTCATCGTTTTTGTCAAACAAGACTCTGACGATGATCTATGGGTAGAAGACGGTTTACATGGGTTGATACGTCTGCCCCTGAGAAATTATCAGGGACAGGAAGCTTTCTCCGTGCACAATGGCGGCATTTCGTGCTGGCGGGGAATCCAACAAACACTGAACACTGACTGATAAGGCGAGGATCATCATGACGGAAATTTGCATTTCCTGATTCGGACAAGGGATACTAATAGACAGCTGCAGGTCAGAATTCGTCCTCGGTTGGTGGAAACAGATCGCCGTGGAGAATACCTACTTTGTCATGGTGGATAAATAGTTACTGCTTGAGTCGAGGACAACAATCACATGTTTTCCTTGACAATGCATAATAAAGTAGAACAGACTAGACTACAGGGTACAGCGACGTGGTGAACATCTTGAAGCCTATCAGAGATGTCTTGGCTCGAGCGTTGCTGCATGCTAACCTGGACAAGTCACGCAATCCCCCTGTGCCAGTTTGCTTTTAGATTTCTGCTGTGGATGCTCGATTTTGCAACAAAATCAAGAAGCCTCGGTTGTTGACATTTTGACGCAGGCATCAGAAAGAGGAATATTCTGGACTCTAATCACGCTCTATGGAATATCTTCGTTCGGCTGTCAAAAAGCGGGGCGGCCTGAGGCCACTTCCCCAGCATTAGCGGGTTGTTGATCCCAAGAGGGACAAGACTATTGAACTCTCCACCAAGTTGACTGAACTAATGCTCTAACCGACCGTGAAATTAGGTGGAAGCGTCGGTTAGATTCTAGGGATCGTCACGACGACATATGAGGAAATTACCAATAAGAGTCCAGTTAGCGAGAATTTAGCCGGAACCATTGATCGACGTCCAGACAGTGCCAATATAGCATCATTTTAATATGCTTTTGCGGCGTTTAAAATTCAGACAAAGAGGGGATGATACGAAGTGCAACAGACATTTATTGTCAAATGTCCCTGTCAAAATATCTGGCGATACCAAGAACGCAGACCTCGGACATTTGGTCCTAGGGAAGACTCTCCCCCGCATCAAGTTTCGCTCCAAAACAACACAAAAGTCATCCTAAATACCGAGACGAGTCAGCCATGTACGGTAGATATCTTTTAATTTAAGATTTACCGTCCCGCTACTGGGTTTCTTCAGGTCATCCTCGACGCAGCCAAGAGTTTCTGTGCGGAGAAAATCGCGAAACATGGGGTAGAAACATATTAAAACCCCCGGCCGATGGCCACCGTGACCCCTTAACAGCTGAATGCAACCCTCCTCTACAAGGATGCGTGTATTTCGCCTCGGTTTGAGGGGCTGGAGTACTGAGTGAACTCTTCGCATCCAGATTCTTGACCAATGCCATCCACGACAGCAGCATTCCTACCGAGGAATGCGGCCCCGTTCCTATACAATGCTGGGAGTGACGACGAGAAATGCCGGGTCGACTTATGAACAACTGCCGTTGAAGTACGATCTCCAGGGTATAAAGAGAGCGTTCAGATGGCCTTGAGGATGTGATCGATTCCAAACAGCAGCAGCAGCATCATCATCATCAGCAGATCAAGATCTCTCTAGTCCTCTCAAAATGAAATTTGCATTCCTCGCCCTCGCGGCCACGGCTGTAGCCAGTCCTATGGCCATTGGCAAGCGGCAGAGTATGTCCCGTTTCTTTGGAAACCCGTCTCTCTGCTAATGAGACAGCTGCCGTTGCCGAGGATGAGCTTCGGACTGGTCCCTGCGAGCCCATCACTTTCATCTTTGCCCGGGGCTCCACCGAGCCTGGTCTTCTGGTATGTATACTTCATGCCGGTCCTGAGATCTGGTAGATTGACGGAATAAAGGGGATCACCACCGGCCCCGCGGTCTGCAATGCTCTCAAACTCAGTCGTCCAGACCAAGTGGCCTGTCAAGGGGTTGGACCAGCCTATACCGCTGCTCTGGACTCCAACCTCCTCCCACGCGGCACGACCCTGATTGCCATCGACGAGGCAGTAGGTCTCTTTAAACTCGCTGCGTCCAAGTGTCCGGACACAAAGATCGTCGCTGGTGGATATAGGTATTGCTCCCGTCGTTCGTCAGGACAATCGAGTAAAGCTAAAGAATTGTGTAGTCAGGGCGCGGCTGTCATGCACGGCGCTATCCCTAATCTTCCCAGCAACGTCCAGGACATGGTCAAGGGGGTTGTGCTATTCGGCGACACGCGCAACACGCAGGATGGAGGACGGATTCCCGATTTCCCCAGAGATCGCACCAAAATATACTGTGCTCCCGGCGACCTGGTGTGTGACGGGACTTTGATCGTCACTCCGTCACATTTCACCTATGTCGATGATGTGCCGGACGCAACCGCTTTTCTCTTGTCGGAGGTTTGAGCATGGCTGCTCTACTTGCCGTCCATGTTGGAGACATCAGAAGGCACAAGTCGTAGGAGGAATAGGATACAGATCAGTACGACAGTTAGGATACCTTAGCAAGCAATGTCAGATGAACTCTCGCTGCCTCAGGCGTGACAAGTACACTTCTGCCTCATTCCTCAGGTACCAACACTTCTATTACCCTTTTTGGCCTCCCACTAGACAACAGATGAACCATTATTACGTCTTCCTCTCAACCAAAGAACCCGGGGCGGTAGTGCAGCGGTCGTACTATTGCGCAGAACTCTGCCACTGCAACTCCGTTGAGTCGAGAGTATGGTACCTGCCTACCCAGACAGCCCCGGTTCGATTCACAGTCCTCCCACTGAGAGGAGGAGCCTGGGCGGATTTCCAGTTGGCAGGAGTGCACCTGCCGCTGATGTTCCGTTTTGTCTCTTGGAACTTCTTTTTCTTTCTCTTTTATTCTTTTATGTTCTAGAATATCTTGTTTAATGGGTACCTATTTGCAGGTAGTCTGTGCCTTCTCTCGTTCTTGGTATCTTGTAGTTGAAGCTTTTTTCCCTTTCTATACCAGAAGGGCCCAACCCTTTTCTCATCTCACCTGGATCATTGTGAGGACACAGGATCCTCCGTATTGTCCCTTAACTCCACACTCGAGATTACTGGCTCATCAGACGGACAACATTGTCTGTTACTTTCCTTCTTCCTATAATGCGGCATTCCCAATCAGGCGCAACAGAGGCTGGCACTGTTTAATCCGTGCCTCCCGAGGGACCAAGTGCATAAGCATGGTTCGTCGGTCTCGGAAAAAGCAAAATAGCTCGGCCTTTCATTGTCCGCAGCATGACCACCATCCACTGGCCTCAGTCCAGTATTAGTGAGGACCCATCAACTATTCGTCAATTGCGGACGCCAATAGACTGAATCTGACATGCATTGCATACCCTACTCAAATGAGGGGGTACTGCATATCTATATCCCTGTCGTACGCATGTTACAGCAGATGGAGACGGAAAAAAGAATATATATGTCTTTGTCCTCGACAATGCCGTCCGTTCGTCACCACATTTAAGAAAGGGTTTATACGAGCACAATGTCGGAACATTGCCTCGACGCCCTGGTCGTCGGCACTGGGTTTTCAGGCATCTACGCTCTCCAATCCCTCCTCAAACTAAACCTCAAAGTCAAAGCAATCGATGCCGCCAGCGATGTCGGCGGCACATGGTACTGGAGTCGCTACCCCGGCGCCATGAGTGACAGTTGGTCACACTTGTACCGCTACTCCTTCGACTACGAGTATCCGCTCTTCCGGCGGTACGTCTCGCAGCCCGAGGTGCTGGCATACCTGCGCCACGTGGTAGACAAGTACGACCTACGCAGACACATGCAGTTCGATACGGACATGACTAGCGCCATTTGGGACGAGGGCACCAGCACATGGCAAGTGTCCTGCAAGACCGGCGATGTTTTCCGCGTTCGATACCTCCTCACGGCACTTGGGCTGCTGACGAAGGCCAATTACCCCGATCTTCCCGGTCTGCAGACCTTCCACGGCGAGATACGGCACACCTCTTCTTGGGATACGGACCTAGATCTCAAGGGTAAGCGAGTCGGTCTTGTCGGCGTGGGTTCCTCGGGTGTACAGCTTGTGCCAGCTGTTGCGGACACCGTCCAGTCCCTGCACGTCTTCATTCGTCGTCCGCAATACTGCGTTCCCAGCGGTGACCGTGCACTCACCGCGCAAGAGCGTGAGGAAATTTTCAGAAACTTCTCCGATATCTGGGCCGAGGCTCGCACCTCGCGGGTCGCCATCGGATTCCCCGAGCTCTCGCGACAGGCCATGGCGTTGTCCCCCGCGGACCGCGAAGCCGCCTTCGAACGTCTGTGGGAAGCAGGAAGTGGGCTGCAGTTCCTGTTTGGTGGGTTTACAGACCTAGTCACGGACCCCGTTGCCAACGAGGAGGCTTGCAAGTTCATGCGGAGGAAGATCGAGGCGATCGTCAAGGATCCGCACAAGCGGAAGGTGCTTACTCCGGACGAGCCATATGCGCGTCGTCCGGTGTGTGCGAACGGCTTCTACGAGCAGTTCAACCGAGAGAACGTCTTTGCGGTGGATATCCGGACCCATCCCATTGTGCAGATCGAAGCAGAGGGGATCCGCACGGCGGATGGCAAGCTGCATGAATTAGACGTCATCATATTCGCAACAGGGTACCACGCAGTGGACGGAGCGTATGTTCGGATGGACATTCAAGGCCGAAAATCAGGAGATAACCTTCGGGATCGCTGGAAGACTGCAGGCCCAATGAGTTATTTGGGAATTTCCGTGCCAGGTTTTCCAAATCTCTTGATGATCAACGGGCCGCAGACGCCGTTTGGGAACATCCCTCCCATATCAGAGGAGAATGTGAACTTTATAGTGGATCTAATCAAGCGGGCTGAGGTCGTCGGTCAGCAGGATAATCGCCCCTGTTTGATTGAAGCAACTGAAGAGGCACAACAAAAATGGGGGGAGCACTGCGACAAGGTGGTCAACAGCACTCTGCTAACGCAGGTACCTCAATGGCTCTTCGGCCATAATGTTGCCGGCAAGGTAGTCTCCACGTTATTCTATATCGGTGGAGTGGGACGATTCAGATCTTTAATTGCGGACATCACGGCCAAGGGCTTTACAGGGTTCAAGGAGCCTCTGAGTAGGGGTTCTGAACCGCGAGCGCATCTATGAGACGTGCTGCACATTTCCATTGCGTCTATAGCTTGTTAATGGTCTCTCTATTTCCGTTGTCAAGGACTATTCTGATCTCCAAACACTGATGGCCACCTTCGGCTCACTTTCGCTAGCACGGATCGTAGATCACGAGATTCAGCTCGCGTCGATTTACTCGTCTCTTCCTGCCATTTGAGCTCGAAAGCGAGTAATTGTGCCCCTATTTCTGTTGCATTATACTTGCTAGCCTGAGTATTTTCCAAGTAATGCAGGAACCTCTGCCAGCGAGGGATGTAGTATGTCGAGACCAAGCCACCCCATTGCTTTGAGGCATAGTCGTTGATCTCACCCTTGGGGCCCCAGAGGGTGATCTGGTTCCTGGCATTGTACTCGTAGAAGTCAGCCTCTGTGTCATTTCTCGCCCATGACCGTGCTGACTGAATCCAAGTCGACAGGCGGAAGTTCTCGTTGGTGGAAAGTACAGAGTCCAAATCGCGCAGCAACTGAATGAGGTTGCTTCCCTCCTCCGAGACGGAGGCGCCACCATGATATGTAGACACCAGATTGGTATACATAGAGGTAAATGCGTTCGCAATTACTTGACGGGTAATGTCGACGATGTCATAGAGAAAAGCGGGCTGGGACCATAAAGAACAGTCCTTGGATGCAGCAGAGTCCATCAGTTGCCATGCCTGGACAAGTGCGGAGGGATCGTAGTTGATCGTGGTAGGATGATGACCGGTACGGTTAAGCAACCCTGACATGCTGGGCCGCAGTTCCAAGATGGATTTAGACACCGCCGTTGATGTCAGGTTGGTGTTGTTGTAGGCTGCCGTTCTCAGAATATCCCATGCTTGATACAACTCGTCAGGTACGGCTGCAGCTTTCCCACCAGGAGAATACCGAGTCTTGACCCAGTCATGGAAATAACGGTCTGTATCAATCGGCTGCCGAGACCAGGCTTGATCTAGGAGCAAGTCGTACATGATCTCGTTGCCCTCTTGACCTTCCATGGTTAGACCAAATCCAACGAGCGATTCCGAAGCAGCAAGAGCTTGTGTTGCATTCACTGTGACATTCATCACCTGACCATACAAGCCCATGCTGCCGCCATAGTCATGCAACTGGCACCAAATCCACGGCTTGCCATAGTACGACTGCGTACGCTGCCACTGGGGCTGCGACTCAGAAAAGAGGTCTAGCAGCAGCATATCTTGGTCCTCTTCAACTCCGGACAAGTACGCCTTCACACGCTCATCGGTCCAGAAATGCGAGTTGGAGTAGAATAGCCAACCCTGCATCAGCCAAACAGCATTCGGATCCGCGCTCTTGAGGCTCAACCAGGTGTTGTGAGTGACGTTATGCAAGTAGTCAAGATCTCCCGAGTAGGGATTATTCTCATTGTACTGGTCCAGTGTATAAATGTGCGTGATGTTTCCATACGCGGCCCGCTGTTTCTGGATGAAGCTGCGCTGCAGGCGAGTGAAGCTGGGGTCGAATGGTTCCAGGAAGGTGTCGTTGGTATATTGCTCATCAAACCCGCTCCATTGTGAACCATTCACCACAGTTGCGTTTGGAAGGACACGGCTGATCGCTCGAGGCACAAACCCTGTAAACGCAGGCAGAACAGGGGTCATGCCCAGCTCGACCATACGGCGGACAATCTTCTTCTGTAGCTCGAATTGAGCATCAATCCAGGAATAGGGCAAATCACCGCCCCAGGAACCTTGGATATTACCGAATCTGTTCCAGGCTTGGAATGCTGGCCCGCTCAGAAAAGATGAGATTTCAGCGTCCCTCAGACCGATTTCACGGAAGATCTCAACTAAGATCTTTTCCTGGCCGACCCAAGCAAGGGGCAAATTAATGCCTCGCAGAGCCATCCAATCCAGCTGAAGCTCCCAGTCTTCCCATGACCAGAAAGCCGTTGTGTAAGAGAAGGTCACTAGGAAGTCAATCATACTGTGGCAGTTTCATTAAGGTCACGACATACCGGTATTAAAATGGTAGCGCCTTTCAACGGTGCTGGAACCAGTCAATGGTTTAGATAGACGAGGAAGTGGTGTTGGTGCTAGATGTAACTGGCTGCCGACAAACCAGTAGATGTCTACAAGCGCGACATCAGCGAGATAGCGGTGCAGACTGTCCTTGTTATTAATTGCCTCGCTTGGCAGTATATGATTTGTAGAATGTCATACCCGTATGACAGGGCGCTTAATGAATTTCCCTGCACCAAGATTGTGCCATTGGCAGCCGTTGATACTACGAACTGATCGTTATTGGTCGAGTTGAAATCCACCAAAGAGAATCGAAAACTGTCAACATGCTTCGGCATTCGACGACGAACAAGATCGTAGATCCCATCAAGCGACTGCGCAAAAGTGGTGGAGGCGCATAGCCCCAAAAGCAATGCTTTGACCCAGACCATCGCGGTGTTCGTATCGGTCCCTCTGCGAAACCAAAGGGATGACAATCGACAAGCTGAGTTCGAGTAGTATGACTTCAGCTGAAGCCCGCCACAAGCCGGGACCTCTGCGATCTAATAACAGTAATCCTCTCAAGTAACTTGATCGAATAATTTTAATTGAGTTTGTTGGGACCTCAAACTTGGATATTGGTATCCCCGAGATTGTGACCACACTGGTCTGCACCGTTCCGTCTCCACACATAAGTGCCAATCTTACCAAAGCTGGCTGGTTAGTTAATAGCCAATCTACCCCTCACGTGTGTTGATGAACGTAGATTATAGTCACATCGGGGCTTTTGAGTTGGACCTGTGGCTGAAGCCGCTGAAAGCCATAAAGACTTTGTTGTGTGGCCTACAACCACTTTCTCCGACGTGCTGATGTTCTGCCCCTGCAATCCGGCGAATTCTCGCCCGTTCATCTTCGTTCTTGACAGGGTTAAATTAATCATCGAGCCCGACGGGTCTGCGAGAATATTGTCCTCTTCGTTATAATCCAAGCGGTGGTTGGAGAGTGCTCGTCGATCTGTGAGCAGGAAATGATTAGCCTTGGGATATTAGAATGTATTAAACGACGGTAAGACGAACCTTGGCTTCATATGTACCTTTCCAGAAAAGCTTGTTCTAGGGGGTATTTCTTGAAATCTGGAAAGCCTAGTCCTCTTTGCACCTGGTCCAAGCACCAAGAGCAGCAAGCAGAAATATCAACTAGTGGCAGATGTAAGCAGAGATATTTCTTCGCAGATGCCTGCTAGAAGATACTATACCGGAGTGAGGCAACCAGTCCGTAGGACTCAGGTCTCGCTCTTATTCAATCAAGCATGCCAGATTCGTTTCTCATACAGACGAGATGGAGACACACAGGCGTGAGAAATAGACCAAGAACGTTTTCGGTTCGGATATAGACAGCGTAAGAGGTTGAAGCGAGAGATGTTTGATTCTCTATCCTTTGGTTGTGAAACAGTCAGCTTCGTCTGAGGAGGAATCATTGACTCTGCGCGTGAATACTTACAAATCCTGTGACAACAACCCAAAATGGCAGGAGTAGAACCATCTTCCTGGACCACTTCAATCAACACAGGGACGAGCATACGCTGATGGAATCATTTTCATGGTTTGAAAATAGTCGATAACGGATTCTGAAGGTAGAACTAGCACCTTTTCTATCTCCTGCTATGAATAAGTGGAAGTTATCGTCGGGAGGAACATATCAAGCCAAGTCTGTCGCAAGTGAATGATTTCCCCATCTAAGAAACAACGTATATAAGTCTCCAACTTACAACTCAGCCTTGGAGTTATTTCCGACTTTACAGTTGACTGATCTACAGGATATCATTTTAATGACCGGCATCAACATCTCAAATGAGCAGCTCAAGTCTACCACCTATCAGCTCTTTGAAGCCTCTGGGAGCTCATGTGAGTAAACTACATTGACTTCAAGCGTCAGGACGGTGTTGACAGGAATAACCAGTTCTTTCGAAACAAGAAATCACAGTCCTCCCCCCTCGTCAACCTGCCTACTGAAATCCTGGTTCAGATCTTATCCTACACAAATTTACACGACACGATTGCCCTATCAACAAGCTGCAAATATCTCCTCAGCATCCTCTCTTTCACTGCCTTTCCTGGTGACTTTTTGTTCAAAAAGCTCCCAGACCTGGCGCCCATAAAGCTAATTCTGTTCCTCTTGAGACTCGCGTGGCCAAGGGAAATGGATGGACGTGCGAAGAAAGGCCTGCGTTACTGCAATGCCTGCCTCCGTATCTATCCGGAGAAGAGACAGTACTGGGAGGAAAGATTGTCGATGAAGATCAGCAGGGATTTCTGGAATAGCCTGAAGTCCCAGTGGGAAATGAACCTTGATTGTCCTAAATGCTATCTCGGTCATAAGCGCACCTATATGTGTCTGTGTCATGCGGCATTCATTAAGCGCTGGGAACAGATTTGTGCTGAGCATATCGGTTGGTTCGGCAACTAGGCATAGAGGGATATCTAGAACGCACTATGCTCTATGGCAACTAGGATGTCATTGCCGCTCTCTAAGTTCAGTTTTATTGAACTGCAACTTTGGGTTCCTTCATGTACCTGCGAACGTCATTCCATGGGATCTTCTGAGACCCAACACCTACTAATCAGCAGAATATGACTGTGGCTGATCTTTAATCTCCATTCTTTTCACTATCTGGGCTATAACTTGTCCTTTTTGAAGACTAGTCTTCCTGCAACGAATAACTTATATCGAGGCTGAGCACCATATCTCCAGTCTACCGTTACATGTATTTCACGTCCGGCTGTTTGTATTCTTCGGCGTTGACTGAACCATAAACACCACAGCCATGGTCACAGCAACTAAAATCAGACCTAGAAAAAGTCTTGAAAGATGGTATGTTCTGCTGGTTTCCGGAATACCATGTCTAGAACAATTACTTCAACTGGAAGTGGTGCTAGTTGCTCTTTCAGGGCCGTCTCTGGCCTTCATGAGATGTTATCTCTTGTATACTTTGATAAAGCTTGCCGCGCCTAGTCCATCAATCTTATAGTAAGTATTTCAATCTTTATTCTCTTGGTAGACCGAAGGGACCGCGTTCCACTAGATAGCTATGTGAGTCTATCGTGCCCCGAGTGATTCTCTGACCCGCAGAAAACGTTCTGTACAATCCTAAGTCCTAATCATAATTTATGAATTAGATTTTGATTATCCTAATCCTACAGCTGCCGATTATGTCTCACCTAGTTCGAGTCTCAGCTTCCTGTATTTCTTCCACATCAAACTTGACCCTTCGAGTCAAGCCGACTCTGATACTGTATTGGATATGCAACCGGTACCGGTTTCTCCATCTGCGCCGACGCCGTCGGGTATTGATTCATAGGCCATTGATTGTGAGAGTGCTGGGCAGCCTGCCATTGTTGGTTATCAGGCTGCTGAGGAGTCTGCCATTGCTCATAAGGCGCGAACGAGTAGTTAAGATTCTCCCGTTCATCTTTCTTGCGGTCCATGCGACATTTGAGGACGAAAATCGCGGTGATGCTGAGGATGAGGACGAGGAATCCGAGGGGGATCACGACTGCCTTGACGATGATTGTTGTCTTTCCGTCCATGTTGGTTGTTTGTTTGTTTGTTCGTTTGGGAAGAATAGTTGAGACTTGACAGAAACTGGAGAGGCGCGATATGACCTCACTTATCTTGGCTCAGTCATGAGTAAAATAGTGGTGCCTAGCTAAGCAACATATTGATGTCCTTGTCCTCGGCGCTTAGATGCGTTGTTGGATTTGATGATCCGCGTGGATATAGCGTGATGGTAGGCAGGTGGAGTATCCATGCAAGCCATTTCACGGATGTTCAGCCAATATCGACGAGTTCTGATCCATCGTCTGCTGATGAGGAAGGCGAAAATAGATTTTGGCTTTCTTGGCGAATGCTTGATGAAGGCTTCTGGGGTGGTCGAGAGTGAGGTGAACTAGACTGTGTGTGGCCAATGGAAGACGCGAACTTGGCGCTGTGCATGTTAGGCCCAAACCAAGAGGGGTTGATGCCTACAAGTCAGACTATCAAGCTGTCATCTCGACCATTTGGTCTTTTTATCTTGAAGAGAGGGCAGTCTTACTTCGATAAGTCATGCGTCCATGCCCGCTATGGCTTGTGGTCGTCGATGAAGTAAGTCCTCTTTTCAGATGTGAAGGATGAGTGTACGGAGTATATCAGGTCTAGAATCGCCTCGGCGTGATTCAACTGAATATTCGCAAAACTAAATCGATGAAGCCAGTTCAGATATCACTCAGCTAAATCCTCAACTGGCGATCAGTTGATTTACAGATTGCGTTTTAGGGACATTTTACAGTTTTTTCATCTATGCTTTATCACGTCCAAATGTCTAACCAAGACAAAGAGCATAGTCGGCTCTCAACTCCCATCGAAGAACAATACAGTATCTGTCTCCATGAATCCTGAGCCTGTTAAGTTAGTCCGCATTGCTTACGGAGTACCCCTCCGGTAATCCCGCACCCATACAGGAAAGGCTTCGCAACGACATAGACATAAGCCAAGAGGACCAGACTTACTTCCACCAAATCATAACAATTCATCAATCCAAGAGTTTGTACCTGGTACCAGCCAAGACAATCTTGGCTACTCCTGGGTAGTTTCACAATGTTTCCCCGGATAAATGGCGATCTTCTCTTGTGTCTAGATAGCGACGGATTCACATATCCAATCTATCTACGGAGTACAGCACAAAAGGCCATCATTCCACCGATCAAACTATCTGCCAGGAGATATGACAGTCTCAAACAGTCCGTCAATTGGTTTCTAAGTCATGCATCCGCTGCTGGTCCTCACCCCGAAGAATCACCGATCGTCACTCTCCGAAGGATCTGTGCCCTGTTTCACCTGCAGGTCTGATACAGGGGCAGACTCCTTCCTGATTCTTTTGGACAATGGTGAAGCATCTATGAGACGATATTTCTCAGGTGCCTTCGGGCCGTCATTCCTGCTTTTAATACAGGCAAATTAGCCGGACCCGTGGAGCTGATATCTCTAAGCATGGTGAGTATAGGCTGTCTAGCGGACCATGGGGAATAAAAGGCGTCCAAGGCCCGTTCTTTCCCAGGTTTCCAACACGCCAAAGGAGTCTTCTGCACGACGCATACACAGTCCAAAATGGCGCCCTTCTCCTTCCTCTTCACCATTCTTCTTTATGCTCTTACGGCCAGCGCCACAGCCTTAGAAGCTCGCGCGTCAGCCGTCCTTCCCAAAGCAGGATCTCTTGAGCACGTCGCCGATTTTGGCTCCAACCCAACCAATGTCGCTATGTACATTTATGTTCCCAAAAATTTGGCAGCGAAGCCGGGCATTGTCGTTGCCATTCACTATTGTAAGATCCGCAGGCAACACTATATGACCTAGGACCAACAGTGGGATACAGGCACAGGAACAGCACAGGCATACTACACCGGCTCTCCATATGCCAAACTGGCAGAACAATACGGCTTCATAGTCATCTATCCCGAGAGTCCCTACGAAGGCAAATGCTGGGACGTGAGCTCGAAAGCGACTCTGACCCACAATGGTGGTGGAAACAGCAACTCCATCGCCAACATGGTCTCCTGGACACTGAACCAATACAAGGCAGACAGCAGCAAGGTGTTTGTGACAGGTAGCAGCTCAGGCGCGATGATGACGGTGCGTTCACCCACAGCCCTAGGACAGACAGACAGATTGTGATACTAACAACAACAGAATGTCATGGCAGCCACATATCCCGAGCTATTCGCCGCAGCTACCGTCTACTCTGGTGTAGCCGCCGGCTGCTTCATGTCCGCCACCAACCAGGTCCACGCATGGAATAGCACCTGCTCGCAGGGCCAATCCATCGCCACGCCTGAGGTCTGGGCCGGCGTTGCAAAGGCCATGTATCCGGGATATAACGGCGCACGGCCTAAGATGCAAATCTATCACGGTAGTGCCGATACAACACTGCTCCCGGAGAACTACAAGGAGACCTGCAAGCAGTGGGCGGGCGTCTTCGGGTATAATTACGCCGCTCCACGCAGTGTTGTAGAAAATACACCCGAGGCCAAGTATGAGACCACCACTTGGGGTGACAAGTTGCAGGGTATTTATGCCACTGGTGTGGGCCACACGGTGCCAATTCATGGGCAACGGGATATGATCTGGTTCGGTTTTGCCCACTGATGGCCAACTGGCTAGTTTCATCAGGTGATCATACGGGATGCAGGGGATTTTAGAATTGTTTCAGATAGAAGAAAAGTCAGCGGATCAAATTCTATATTAAAGATCGTGTGGTACAAGATCCAAAAAAAAAAAAAGAAAGGAAAAAATATATATAAAAGAGAAATGACAAGAGTGGGATTCGAACCCACGCCATCATACGATGATGAGGAAACTCTAAGAGTTTAGTATTAAGGTGGACCTTAACCTCACGCCTTAGACCAACTCGGCCATCTTGCCTTGCTTGAGTGATAAGCTCTCATTTTTAGATACATCAAATTATGATCAAGTTTGATAGCAACTTTGCAGCTCAAACGCCAAAAAAAGCTGTTTGTGGGAAGAGAATAGTTCCCTAGGAAATAATACCACGTGCATTTGAAGTTAACACTTGATTTTCAAGAACATACGGACCCTGCCTTAAGGCAAACTGGTTCAGAGACTGGACTATATACTTTGTCAAGTGATAGGCAACTGGGGAACTACAATGCATCGAGCTGATATTTAGTTCGGGCACAATACTGGACATGAAGTCACTAATAACAACCGTAGTATAAAGAGTTTGCATCCTTTCAAGTGCAAGCATCCCCAGCACACCAAATAGCCACCCAGATCATCTCATCATATACATCAAAATCATTATCCCATTCGTGAGCTGATACTGGGCGAAGAGTCTGAGCGGCTCAAAGTTTCCCTACTTCCTCGACTCTCCTCTCGCCTGCCTTGTCGTCTTTGTCCAGACCCTCTTCCAGGTCGATTTCCTTTTGCGACCGGCTTGACTGTAGACCCGCAACGGCAGTCTCGAACCGACGACCACGCTTCTCCGGTCCAAATGCCGTAGTTACCACGATACCCATCGCAATGATGGCCGTAGCAATTCCCATGACAGGACCGTACGCCGGAACCCGATGACCAGATGGAGAGGTTATCATGGTTTTCTCGGCAATGGCGTTGACAATCTGGGCGGAAGGCGAAGAGATCATATTTCCTAGCTGGTATGTGATACCTTCGCAAATTAGTGAGGACTCCCACGATTGGTATGAGGTACGAACCTGGGAAGGAAGACCGGAATGCGGGTGGAGAAAGTTCATTCAGGTGAATAGGAATGACACCCCAGGCACCTTGAACGAAGAACTGCATGAAGAAGCCGGATGCGCTCAGATCCCGTTCGCCTTGGGGGAGAATCCAGGCAGGAATAAGGATGCCAGAGCACAGGGCAGAAATAATGATAGCTCGGCGCCGTCCGACAAATTGCGACAAGTATCCGACTATTGTACCACCCACGCAAGCGCCAGTCTTCATCAGAATAGATGCGCGAGAGGCCTCAGCGTTGCGCATCTCTTTCTGAGTCAACATGAACGTAGTATACGAGTCTTGCGAGGTGTGGGAGTAATAGTTGAACTATGAAAGTCAGCAGCTTTTCTCTAGCGAACATCGGGAGGGCATACCCAAGTCATCAATAAGATGCAGTAAATGCACATCTTCCACTCCTGCCCGAGCATCTGCTTCGTCTCACGCCAAAATGCGCCCGGATCAGCGGCTTTCTTGCCGGCCCGCTTGGCTTCGAGGAATTGTTTGGATTCAGGGAAGCATATGCGGATGAGTCCAACGCCGATTGAGAGACCAGCTGTAGGTATGTCAGTTTTCAGCTCGGAACTATATTGAGGGAGAATCCAGGCAACGGACCCGCAATCCAGAAAACAGTCTTCCAACTGTCTGTTGAACCGCCGACCCCGAGGTTTGCGCAGGCAGCGAGTACGTAGCCAAACGAATAGCCTTGCTGCAGGATTCCGGACATGAGACCACGAGCATTGATACTATGGTTGTTGTTGTCAGCGAAGGGAGAGAAACTCCGCGATCAGCACTTACGGGCAATGTTCCAAGGCCATCGCTATGGCATTACCATAGACGCCCCCCATAAAAAGCCCGAATAACGACCGAACAGCCAGGAACTGCTGGAACGTACGGCTATAGATGGTGGCTATCTGTAGGATACCGAGCACAATCATGTTGGTTACCATGGGCCATTTACGCCCGAACTTATCGCCAGCCAGACCGAAGAAAGCGGCACCGACGCTTCGCAGGAGCAGCGTCAGGGTGATAGCAGTGGTGATATCGGTCTTTGAGCGGTTATAGTACTTTGACAGCTTGACAGTTTGGATAGATAGGGCATGGAAATCAAACGCATCGGCCGTCCATGCTGCAAAGCCAACAAGGAAAAAAAGCCAGTCCCGCGCACCAAGTTGCATAAGCAAGCTGATAGGGTTCTGGATAGGTTCGGGTGATTGCCACTCAGCGTGAGTCTCGCCCGACTCGTTAGTCACGACGACACGCTGTTTCCATCGGAATAGATCGCCGAAGGACTGCTTCGCGGTGGCGATGATGCCATCCGGAATGGGCTCCGCTGGCTCATTATGGGAGGTACTCATATTCACAAGTAAAGCGAGGAACTATGGGTGGCGTTTCTCGGGATTTCCCTGGGAATAGGACGAGGGTGAACGATACTGCCAACAGACCCCTCGCTTGCGTCTCAGACTTGGCTTTTATATGTATCTCGCCCCGTTGACCCCCCGGTTGATTTCGCTACCCCATGGGGAGCCACGCGAAACCCCGCAAGGTCAGGACATGGAACTGGTACCAGTAGTGATACGGTGATTCCGATACCCTACTCCACCTACCCCAGGTTCTCGCGGGCGATTTCCGCGTGGAATTTCCAATCCGTATCGAGCCAAGATGATGCCAAGCATCTAAACAAGACGTGGCCGCCAATGGGTCAGCATCAGTAGCAGCCACACTACCCAAGTCTGGCTTGATGTCGTATCTTACTTTTGGCGGGTGACAACACCGTGCTTTCATGTCTCGCCCAGACACGCTAGCTACTCCAATGTTCCCGTGTGAGCGTGGGGGGGTCACGAAGAAGGATCGATCGAGACTGCCGGTTCGGAGAAAAGGGAGCAAGGTTTGCAGCAAGTAATCTACAGAAGGTCCAGAAATCGCGCACTCAAGTGCTCGTACCATATATGTCTATGGTAATATGGCCGAAAATCGCTGCCGTCGATCGGGTTCTCCTCAACCAGTTGAGTCCTTGAATCTGTACAGACGTACGGAGCTACTCGGGACAAGAATTTAAAAACGTTTCACCCCTCAGATGAGAAAGCCAGTTCACGAGTTCAAAGTCAGTCAAGGAGCAAACATGCTGATAGCTTGTTTCATACGGCATCATCGTTGTCGGTTTTCTACCCATTACTGGCCGTCATCACAATTCAGTGGGATCTTGTATAAGAACGATACCGGGGATTGCACCTCTCCCTTGCTTTCAGTTTCCCAAGGGAGCTTTTGATCACTTAAAAATTGAAAGGCTAGGCTGTTGATTTTTTGTAATCTCTTTCAACAAGCGCCGGCGAGGTTCCGCTGCTATTCCACGGTGGAAAAGCCGAAAGAGACACAGAGGCGTTCTTGGCATGAGAGCTTCGGGGGGCTGAAAGTCTTGGGGCTCTTGTCCGCGAGGAAGCTAAGGCTTAATCGAAAGAGTTGGATATCATCTCGGGAAGAATCGGAGAGGAAGAGGTCAAAGAACACGAGGAGGATTCTCACAGGTTAAGGTATGATGATTTTGTACGGAGTAATAATGCTAAGAGAGCGAAAGTACGGTACAAGACCGGAGTGGAGAGGAGAGGAGAGAAAGAAATGCCTCATTCTCAACCAGTGTTGCCCCCGTTAAGTTGGACAAGGTGCGACTTCGTAGCCTCAGGTGTCGGGTAATCCAGTTCCCCCTGCCAGGCCAATCTGTGGGCTGAGGTTTTTTAATGGACCTTTCTGTTTTGTGGTCAAACTCCTCCTGCACTGGTTGAGAAATATTATCTATCTATCTATGATTTCCAAATCTTCGCCAGTTGTGACCGAGTCCCTAACCTTGCTAGTGGCTGTGCTGTACTAATTCCTCTTGCGGGATTAATTTCGTCCATTTGGATTGTTGGGGAATGACCTTAGATCTCAACTATCAATACTTTTAGAAGATTCACCTTCCTCATTTCGTACGAAAGCACTGCACATTTGAGCTATGACCAATGTTAATTCTGGGTCTCTTCTTGAACTACTGCTCTCAATGGTCATATAATAGACTCAAACATGGGCATTATGAGGTATTTGTTAGCCTCTACGAGTCGTTCCCCACGAGAGTGAAGTCTTCCAAAGGCTCTATAACTCTCCACCATGTCTTGCTCTTCTATCACTTTCTCAATCCCAAGGAGAGGTGACTGGAAATTTTGCTACCGGAATAGCGTTGGGAGATTGGGGCCTCGCAATGCGAACGCCCAACACTCGCCATGAAGACAAAGATCTATCTCCATTCCGGCTTCACCACCACTATATATATATTGCTTTCTGGACGATACTGGCATCTTCCATCATCTATGCTATTGGACGGGTCAGTTACATTGACGCTCTACTTCTAGCATCTGGTGCTGCCACGCAAACCGGATTAAACCCCATCGACTTGAATCGGCTGCATGTGCTTCAGCAGCTGATCCTGTGGATTGTTGCCATGGTCACCAATGTCATTTTTGTCAACTCGCTTCTTGTCTGCATCCGTTTGTATTGGTTTCGGAAGCGGCTGCGACGGGCGGTCAACGAAGCGAAACTCTTGTCTTGGATGCGGAAGAGGAAAGCAGAAGAAACAGAATTGGGCCAAAAGGATTCCAACCATGTGGTGTCTGACGTCCTCCAAGAGCATGATAGCCTCACACAACCTTTGCTTGAACGAGATGGTGAAAATGGCCAAAAGCTGTTTTCGGCCAGATACCATGTCATGAAACAGATTGCTCCGGCATCCACTGGCCTCCACGTTACATTCCACGAGGTGGAACATGAAGCAAGACACCATCGACGATCATTCACTAGTACCGGGCCATATCAAGTCGTATCAGAACGTCCGTATTTGTTGGCAAGGCCTCATAATGATGCAGGCCCCAGCATATCCTACTTACCTTCGCTTATGTGGCAGCCGTCCATTGCGAGTTATTCCGACTGGGACGAAAGGCAAAAGGACCAGCTCGGTGGGATTGAGTACAGAGCACTGAAGACGCTGCGTATGATTCTGATGTGCTATTTTATACTTTTCCACATCTTAGGGATTCTGCTTCTTTTCTCGTGGATATGGCTGACCCCAGAGTTTGGCCAATCCGCCACGGTGGACGGAGTCAATATTTTTTGGTGGGGGATATTCACTGCTGGTTCGGCTTTCAACGATCTAGGATACACGCTGACGCCAGATTCAATGGTGCCGTTTAAGAATGCTGCTTTCCCTTTGATTTTGATGTCCTTTCTGATCGTCATTGGGAATACTGGATTCCCATGCATGCTTCGCTTGATCATCTGGCTGCTCTCAAAGCTGGCACCCTATGGTAGTGGCCTAAATGAGGAGCTTCAATTCCTCCTGGATCACCCACGCCGATGCTTCACGCTTCTATTTCCTAGTGGAGAAACGTGGAGGCTCCTAGGGGTGCTGATCTTACTCAATGGATTTGACTTCATCGTTTTCTGCACTCTCTCCGATGTAAGTGCAATTGGTTCAATCCGTAGAGCAAGAAAGCCTAATCTAAATCGCGTTCATGCAGAGATCTGAGTACCAAACGGACAGCAAGTCTCCGTCTACCATTATTTGGCTCGTCAACGGCTTCTTTCAAATCGCTTCCACACGAACAGCCGGCTTCTCGGTTACACCACTTGCAGACATTCATCCTGCCATTCAAGTATCTTTCCTCGTGATGATGTACATTTCTGCCTTTCCAACCGCCATCGCCATGCGCGAAACAAATGTATACGAAGAGAGGAGTCTCGGAGTCTACGAGCATGACTCCGATTCAGAAGCAGAGTCTAGGAACGGAAAACATATCGGGCTAGCCGTACACATCCAGCGACAGCTTGGATTCGATCTCTGGTACGTCATGCTCGGACTCTTCCTCATTGCAATTGCGGAAGGAGACCGTCTCAGGAAAGCCGCCGACGACCCGGCCCTCTCGCTCTTCTCTGTTCTCTTCGAGATTGTATCAGCGTACGGGACTGTCGGGCTTTCTCTGGGATATCCCGAGACGGAAACAAGCTTGTGTGCGCAATTTAATTGGGTGTCAAAATTGGTCATTGTCGCGATGCAGTTGCGTGGAAGACATCGTGGACTCCCACACGCATTGGATCATGCGATTTTGCTGCCATGTGAATCGCATCAAGATGGCCAGGATGGACGGTCCGGCTGGTTGGGGACTTGGCTCAAGAGGCGTGCCTCGAATTTGAGCAACCCACCAACGCTGAACGCAGGGGAAGAGGATGATGAGGAGGAATACCTTTTGCAAGCATAGAGTAGATTAGATGCAATAGGGATAAGTATGGAATGAACGAATTTTATGAAAATATTGGTTTAGGATGACACAGCACATACTACGTGACGGACATGTCATTGTAGGGCTGAGATGGCCGAGTGGTTATGTTTTTCTGAGCAATCCCAAAGGTACCTCCCCATACAAAATTGGATGAAACAGTACATGGTGGCCGAGCGGTTCAACTCGTGCTGCTGGACCACCAACATGGTCCATTGCTCCGAGTTCTCTCTGATCCTTAAATATTACATCTGTAGATCCCTGCCCAAAACAGCAAGGCTATCTTCTCAGTAGAGTGTTCCAGATCTGAACCGGAATTCTTTTCAACTAGACTTAGTGGTCTCCATCAAACCATTCTAGAAGTTGAAACTCCGCCCAATTTCCTTCATATCTGGGCAGATCGACGCCAACAAACACATCATCGTGATGGTGACTGGGCTCATATTATTCTCACTGATCTTATTAGCACTTATCTTATAAAAACCAGTAAGGATATCAGAATCATCACAGAATATCCTCTATATCCCAGGATCATTTAAACGGTTAGCACACCTGGAGTTAATGACAGGACTGTTTCATTCTCCTCATCAGCACTACCTTATTCAGCCACCGCTGGTATCCATTAGGGTTACAAGTATACCGTGCATAAGAATTGCATTACCATTGCATAAATCCAGCTTGTTCAGTACCTTTAGTGTCTGCGCAGAGCATGTCTGACCAGGTCATCAACATACACCAGTCACCACTGTCACCCAAACACCTCTACAATTCTCACTCCAATCTTTGTAAAGAGCAGCTAAATACTAGGATAGGAATGGGAAGGAAGACGCGAGGACAGGGCCAGACCTGCTCTATCTGTTGCACATCGTTTCAATGGATAATGGATATGAATCACATTTATCACGTTTATTGCCGTCATCTATATTCTTAAACCAATGAAAGGATGCAATTAGGGAAGCTGTTGGTGACTGGTTGAGAACATGATAATGAGCACCATAGCGAAATATTAAGCTACTGAGAAGAGGTATATAGGCTTGTTAGATGACCCATTATACCTACTGCTGGGTGAGATTTAACACATGGAAACACTTGAGACTTTCGGAACACTATTTAGATGTCATGCTTTTATCTTTTGGCGGAACATCCTGATCGCAATTAATTGCTGCAAATAGGTCATTACGAGCATCCTCATACTCCATACTAATCACAATCCTGTCTCTTATTTCCTTTCCCCACACACTCTCAATCCAAGCAAGCATACCATCTATTCCAGCGCTCACACCGGATGTGGTCCAGATATTCCCATCAACTACCCATCGGGCATTAGCAACCCAGTATGTTTTACTGCTAGTCGGCTTCTGGGTAATGTGCTTCTGTTTCCAAGGGTCAGTATAAACATTGCACTGGATTTGGCAATGGGATGGAAACTGTTCTCAACTCACCCAAGCTGCTTTGTTTGTTGTTGCACGCTTCCCATCCAAAATACCTGCCCTAGCAAGCAGATCGGCGCCAGTGCAGACGCTGATTAGATATTGCAGGTTGGGATACTGTTCTCTGATGAAATCCACAACCGGCTGCGTCTTTTCCTGGTGGTCGGAACCCAACCCGCCAGGGACGAGGAGCACATCCAGACGTGGTGCATCGGCGAAGGTATGAGTGGGGACGACCTTTTGGTTGAAACAGTTGGCTGGCATTGCAGACACGGGATCCAGAGATGTTGAGAGAACACTAAGGCTGAAATTGGCATACTGGGAGCCGAACTGACAGCGACTGAAGGTGTTCAACGCTTCAAGTGGTCCGAAGACATCGAGAACTTCGAACCCGGGATAGAGGGCTAAGCCAAAGCTGGTTGGGCGAGGTTTGGAGTGGTGATGCATCATTGCTGCAGTCCGAAAGCAACATACACCTGGTGTGTGTTTTCTGTGGGATGGTTATGTAGGAGCAGACAGGACCTTTCGCGCTTTTATAGTTGCAGTTTCTCACCGTGGTGCTTGGGGTTCCCGCCCTCCTGTGAGGTTACAACTCACCCATACGACTTTCAGAGGCACTCAGCCAAGGATACCTCAGCTCTCAAATGTCAGGGATTGTCAGTATGACGGAACTTTTACATTTTGAATTTGGACAAAGTACCTTCAGAGTTCGATTCTGCGGCTTGAGGCGTGAGAAACCTGAGCTAACTCGTGGCTAGCCCAGGCCCAGGATTTTGGATAGGTCCGTTTGCGTCCAGCCAAAGTGCGATATTAAGGCCCTGTTCGCAACTCGGTCCCCTGTGAACGCCGACATATCATGACTGGTCTTGTGTACCACTCAATAATAAATAACCCCAGTGGTTATATGGCTAGCTGATAGTTGTCTGTGGTTTCATCCGACTTGAACAGCGGTAGAGGCATCCTTGTCCCTTCCGCTCTAGAGCAGTCGTGATCTCAGCACCCCTGGCAGTTAAATTGTGCAGAGGCCCGATTATCCATGTGCCTATATCTTTTCATTTCTGGAAATACGACTCTCGCTGACATTATTCTCAAATTCCATTGTCTGTATAACCAGCATTAGGTTTTTACTCAAAGTATAAGACTCTCACTTTGAATATCTGGTCGTCAATGATGCTCATCAGTAGGAATTAAGAGATCGCGATGAATGACGTCAGCCACATGGATATGGTCACCGAAAACAGTAATAAAGAGATCTTGACCTCGTTGCTTTATAGGATGATAACTACTGACGTGCGTACTGGTATACATAACTCTTGAGTGGTATCCTTCTCGAGGATCAAAGATAGACATTATTTTGATGGGCTACTGATGGTCGTGGGCTCGTGGCGTTTAAGTCAATTTGGTAAGGCTGCGGAGCTACAGCCCACCCAAAAATGGACCCATAGGGCTTACAGCCTTACAGCCTTAGGTTACCTAACTGTGGTCTCCAGCTCCAAAGCTCAAGGCAACAACTTACGTAGCTCTTTTAATATTGTTTTCTTCTTCCCTATCTCTGTATTCTTCCTTGTGCCATCCCCGAACTTCGATTCCCCCAAGACATTCCTGTCAGTCAGACTCATTCCCCGATCGTCATCCCTGCGGCTGGCCGTTGTCTCTTTGACTGACCCGTGGTCGCGTGAAGAGTTCTTGCTTCCCCACCCCGCACTGCGAGCTCTTGAGTTAGCTCCTCACGTTAGACGATAAGGTACTCTTCTTCAATACTACACCTTGAAAATCCGGATAAAGTATCCCTGTATCCCGTCACCCTATCAAGAAATTTCCGACGACCAGTCTATTCAAAATGTTTGGGATCATCGCGGACTTGATGTCGTAAGTACTCTGACTCCGGTATCGCCGGGGAAAATGCGGGCACCAGATATCTCAGTGGTCGTCCCTCAATACTTGTGACCATTAAGTCCGAGCTAACGCTTTTCGATCATCATATTTCAGCTCGGTGATTACGATCCTCTTCCCTGTATTTGCCTCTTACAAAGCTTTGCGCTCTTCCGATCCGTCACAGCTGGCACCATGGTTGATGTACTGGGTGGTCCTCTCGGGCATTTTGCTCGCTGAATCATGGACAATTTTCATCCTGGGCTGGTAAGAAAGACACATCCGGATGAAACGGAACAACGAAAGCAAGGCTGATCTGCTATAGGGTCCCCTTCTACAGCTGGTTTCGGCTGTTTTTCTTTTCCTATCTAGTACTTCCTCAGACTCAGGGCGCAAAGATCCTGTACCAGACCTATGTCGACCCCTTCCTGGCACACCACGAACGAGAGATTGAAGTGTTCATTGGCCGCTTCCATGAACAGGCCAAAGCCCTTGGGCTTCAATACTTCTATCAGGCCATCGATTACATCCGCGAGAAGATTCTGAGATTGCCGGGTCAACACCCTGCCCCTCCACCTCCGCCAACCGGCCCGGCTGGATATGCGCAGTCGCTCCTCTCTCGATTCAATATCCCTACCGCTGCTGGCGGAGCGCAACAAGGCCCTGCCAATGATTGGTACTCTACGATCAGCTCTGCTGTGGCAGTAATGACTTCCGCGGGTAAAAGCCATGAAGCGCGGGCTGAAGAGCTGTCTGCCAGCGGGAACCTCTTGCCGCGAGAACTTGCTGGAATGTCCCGCGCGGAAAAAGCTAGTTTCATTTCCAAGCAGCGCGACCTGATTGAGGTGTTGCGCGCCGCATTGGCCAAGGAAGAGAGTAACCTCGGTAGCGGCGATGTGGACGACGACCTTGCATATGGTTCCTCTCTGAGAAAGAATCGCAGTGACAACTCGTTTGATCATATCAACCCAGAAGACATTCGTGATCGATCTCCGGCGAGACCGGAAAGATCGTCTAGTGGCCGATGGGCGCCGGGATGGTTTGGCAGCGGAGAGCCGGCTGCTTCCTCTGGCGTAGAGGCTATTCCACGCGCAGCTGACGACTTTCCGCGGTCAAGGGGATCCCATCATTAGACCATTTGTCACTGGGTGATGGCTTCGTGCTGTGGAGTATAGTCTATAGATAGATGGCCAGGGCCTATAGACCCGTAGGCATGAAAAGAAAATGAATTGTGATCAACTCAGCCTTGCCGCAGTATTTTGCATTGGTTGATAGCCGTGCTAAGCGCTGAAGTAATTGCGCCGCAGCAAACGATTTATAAGTACCCATCTTCATCAACAACACCGGCCTTGTACCATCCATGGACCTGCTCGTTAGATCAACCCTGACTCACGGGAGACTTGGATTCTTCGAATGCTTCCTCTTCTACATCTCATCTGTCATCTAAAGACACGAATGATGTACTCTCAAGTGCTTGAAAGGCTGCACCAGGTCGCAGCACATCTCACTCCTAGCATCGACACTATTTCCAACACAACAGGAACGCTCTTTGAGCTCACGAAGCAAAACATCCCGCTCCCAACTGCTCTTCAGCTTCATGATCTTCCCAGGGAGATCGCAACCTGCATCGCACAGAATCCACTCCCTCTCGTTTCGATTTGTATCTTCGCATTTCCTAAGGCGGTTATCTCACCTGTTCTGTACCTCGCAGGATTTGGATCTTTGGGTCCTATTGCTCGTATGTGCCTTCCTCACCTCATCCTTGTCTTCGTTGGGATGCCAATGGTTAACTCATTGCTAGATTCCCTCGCGGCGTGGTATCAAGCCTCCTTTGGCAATCCGGTGGCAGGAGGGCTCTTTGCACACTTAGAAAGCGCGGCGATGGGTGGCTATGGACTGGGTGTTTTAAGCACTGCTCTTCGGGGGTTAGTGGGTGTGGCTACGGGTGTGCGGATGGCTTTGGGGAAGGGGAATGGGACTTTGGCAGGTTGAGGCGGTATAGTGTCTGCTGCAAAGATCATGTTCATGGATTGACATGTGGTTGGCAGATATCTACATTCTAATATATATCGCTATCTGGTATCTTTCCTACGAGGGATATATTGGTTTGGGTGGATCGACGAGGAGGTGGTTTCCGGACCAACCAGATAAATAAATAAATCTGTGGAGGTGTTCTGTGCTCAGATCCTATGATCATGTCCTGTACTGTCTGTAACCGAATTGAAAATTGAAGAGTACCTGACCAAGAGAGCAATTTGAGCAGGAAGTTTTCTAGAATACTCATGGGAGGATGAAGATGATCCGCCATGCCCGTCGACATGCAAAATGCAAGGAAGGTACGGATGTGGCCATTACACATCTACCTGAACATACCGTTCATTGCATGGGTATCCTCAGCGGAAGCTGTAGCTAGTTGGGCACAGAGTAAAATTCCTGAGTTTTATTAATAGCCACTTTCTCATTTATTTCATCACCAGTACTTCGTAGTGCGTAGAAAATTCTGTATGCATTGGTACCTACTGTTGAGGATAGTGGTGGCAAAGATGCCTCAGGTATCAACTGTCAAGACGCTAATGATCTCATCTTGACTTGCCTTGTTTTATGACTGGAAGAACATTAAAGAAATTCTGCCTGTCATACTCCAATCCATTTAGGCATCATTGTCCTGCAGTGAGTCACTTGCTGATGCGTTGTGTCTATGCCTCTGCGCCTGATGAAGAGTCGGACAGAATCCAGATATGCGGATAGACAACTCCCTAGATACCTCTGGTTATACTTATGTTAGTAGTCCATCATTTGGCCTTCAGCTGGGGGTATTATTTCATTGCTAATTGCTTATTCGTTTCCCGTACCTAAGGTAAGTGCTTTCGCCGCCGTAACCCGAAGAATCGACCAGTCAGCAGTGGCACTGACATTCTCACCCCGTCCCGAAAGGGTAAAGTAGGAACTTAACCTAGGGAGGGTTCCGTCGGTTTAATCCACCATGGATAACAGCTCTCTTTTTCCGTTACCTTTTTTCTTTGAGCAAACAATCATTCTGGATGCGAGGTTTCGATCATTTATTTTTTTTGAGAAGAAGAATACCAAGTAATCGAGTAGAATAAAAAGAATACAAAGTTGTAGTTGGAGGTGGTTATTGTTTCGTCGAAAATTGTCAGGCTCGTTTGTTTCCGCCTAGGCGCTTCACCTCTTCTTTTTTTTTTTTTTTTTTTTTTTTTTTTAATTCTTTGCCTTTCAAAATTTTTTTTGTGCTCGCCGCACTGAAGGGAAGGGAGGGAAAAATAGACAGCAAGACAGCGACACACACAGGCGTAGTAGAGCACCCAAACAGGAAGAGTAGCCCCGTCTCTTTCTTGTGCGCGTAGATGAATATTATTATTAACGAGTTAGAAACGTAGATACCGATTTATCGCGGTTGCGTTTTCTCCCTTTCTTCTTCCTTCCTCCGTACCCCATATCCCAACTCGTCGTAGTCCAACGACGTCTTTTCCTTTTCCCTTTTTCTTTGTCCTGCCTATTTTTTTTTTTCCCCGGTGGCAGTGTACTAACCTTTCTCACCTACCTACTCTTACCTCCCCCCATCTCCCTTTCCCTTCCACCGGACGACCTCTCCGTTCAGTGTGGGAGTTTGAGAAAGAATAAAAAATAATACTACTATTTCGCTAGTAGTATTAGTCCTCTAGAAGTATTCTTGCTTCTTTTAATGCGGAATCTGGATCGCGCTCCGATTCTGCTTCTCACAACTTGACATCACACGCACACACAAAAAAAGGCGCATTTAGGAAAAACTTCCTTTCTCCTATTAACCTGTCTAATGACCTCGATCCCTCAAAAGTCAGGCCTTCAACCTCAAGGACAGAGCACCTCGACTCAGGCCGCCTCGTCGCACTCGCCTTCCCCGTCGCTCAGTGGGAAGACCTCACCCTTGCCTGCTCCTACCTCGACGGCCGCTAGGTCCTACGCCAGCGCCACCAAGAAGTCCGCGACGGACTCGACCGCCGCTCCCGTCACCGTGGGTGGCCCTTCGCAACATGGGAAGTCGACCTCAGTATCTCCTGTGAGCGGCAAACCCATGCAACAACCTTCCCAGTCGCCCGGCGTCACCATCGTCAATGGCGCCCCGGCCTCCGCCTCGCAAGGCGACCATTCGAGAAAGCCCTCGGTGACCATCACTTCGGCCGGTACCTCTGGCTTCATCCCCAACGGTGGCCCTGCCAGTCGTCCCAATAGCCTCCAGTTCGGTTTCGCCAACTCGCAGAGCTCTCCCAACATGGGAAACCCGGCCGTTCTGGCGACCCAGCCTCAGTCGGGCTTGGGTGTGTCCCCGTCGATGAACCCCCGTGTTACGTCTCCTCAGACCTCCCCTTCGCCTATCCCGCAGCCTGCCTCGAGCGGTGGTCGGCCGCCACCATCATCCTACCAGTCCCAGGGAAATGTGCCCAACTTTGGAAGTTTTGGAGATGCGGGCGATGCGAACGTAAGTCATGGCATTCTTTTGACGCAGTTTGGAAAAGAGAAGGACGCATCCCTGCGGCGTATCTGCAAATTGTGACGCAAGAGTTCGGTGCTTACTTTCTTCTCCTCGCAGATGCGCTCTGGTCCCCAACCTCCCCTTGGTCCTGGTTCTCAGTCGACCCATCTCCGCCGCGAATCCTCCCAGTCCACGCACAGTGATATGAGCAACCACATGGGAAGCGGTCCTGGACGCGGCGGTTACCCTCACCAGGGTGGACGCGGTCGCGGATACTCACAGTCTGGTTACCAAGGACAGATGCCCTACTCACCTGGTCCCAGCTTCCGGTCTCCCAACCAGCCCCGGGGTGGTCCCAACATGGGCCCTCAGTTCCACGCTCCTAACCAGGGACGACCTCTGGCGCCCTTTCCCAACTCGCCACACCAGCGCAGCCCGGCTTTGGCGACCGCGCATCCTGCTACGCCTCAAATGAATCAAGTCCCGATGGCCCACCCCCAGATGCCTCCTCAGCCCTACGCCACCTACGGACAACATATGGCCCCGCAAACAGTGAGATACCACCCTTCTGTTTATAAACCCCCCCGTCGTGGCCCATTTCCGAAGAGAAGACTAGGATCCCGTCGTTTCTCTTCGTCTTCCTCCTCCAGCCTCCCTCTTGCACATACTTCCCCTCCCCCTCTCCATCTCCCCCCTCCAAATCTCGCGCCGGAAAGCGGTCAGTTTGAACATTATCTGACGCTGATGAAAAACCCTCAGGCTTATCCCTATGACCCCAACTACGCTTATTACAATCCTGCCTATGGAATGCAGCAGATGCAGTACATGACTCCCCCTTCGCCACAGCCACGGCCCGGCATGCCGTATAACCCGCAGGCACCCTACATGCAGAACCAGTACCCGGTTCAGCCTCCTCCCCAGACCGCTCCCCTGTCGCGCACGCCGTCTCAGGTGTCGAACGACCGTCCAGGCTCCAGCCTGGGCCAGGGCCAGCCCCCTGCAGGTGCCCCGGCGGCCAGCCACACTCACACGGCCAGCAGATCCTCCAACAGCCCCGCGCCGCCTAAGCCCCAGTTCGTCATTCCTCCCACCAAGCGGAGCCCCATTGTCATCAAGGACCCCGGTAGTGGTGTTGTCAAGACCTTCGAGAAGGCACCGGCCTCCCCCGCGCGTGCGACTCCATCCCCTGTGAAGATCTCAACCCCGACCGCTACACCCCCGCCTCGCACCGGCAGTGGCGCTGACCACAACCGTACCGACTCTAAGGCCAAGACGGACGAGGAGAAGAAGAAGGAGTTGAGAGAGGCGGTGCGTCAGAAGATTGAACAGGACGAAGCAGAGCAGCGTCGCAAGGAAGAAGAGGAAGCAGCCGCTCAGAAGAAGAAACAAGAGGAAGAAGAGGAAGCGGCTCGCAAGAAGAAGGAAGAAGAGGAAGAGGCAGCTGCTCAGAAGAAGAAACAGGAGGAAGAAGAGGAGGCCGCCAAGAAGAAGGCCGCCGATGAGGAGGCAGCACGCGAGAAGCTTGAGGAGCTCAGCCTAAAGGACAAGGCAGAGGAGGCCAAGCCCGCTGCCGAAGAGCCCAAGAAGGAGGAACCCGCCCCTGCCGCTGATGACGAGATCGACTACGAAGCCATCGAGCGCGAGCTGGCCGAGATCGAAGCCAAGGAAGCTGCCGCGGAAGCTGCCTACTACGCCAAGAAGCAGGCCGAAAAGGAGGAGAGAGAGCGTAAGGAGAAGGAAGAGCGCGAGGCCTACGAAGCGAACATGAAACAAGCCGAGGCGGAGGCAGAAGCTCTTGAGGAGGAGCGTCAGCGGAAGCGTGAGGCTGCCGCAGAGACATCCAACAAGGAGCTCTTTGCTGCACTCAAGAAGGGTGAAGTAGCTGCTACAGAGGCCAGCACGCCTGCTGGCAGCGGCACCGCCACTCCCGTCTCCGACATTTCCATGGGACCTCCTGGCAAGCCTGCCAGTGCCCAGAAGCGGGAGAAGCCTGCTGCTCTGAAGCTGGAGACCACCAAGGCAGTTGAGCCTCCCCAGCCCAGCGCTGCCATGAAGTCCCTTCAATCGGCTCGCTTCGTCGACGACTTGAGCAAGATCAATTACCCGCCCTCTATCGTCTCTCCCAACCCGGCTCTCAATGCCAGCGCTCCTGCGGATCGCAAGTTCCACTACAACAAGGAATTCTTGCTCCAGTTCCAGAGTGTCTTCAAGGAGAAGCCGTCCATTGACTGGGATTCTCGTGTCCGTGAGACCGTGGGCGAGAGCGACACATCGCGTCCTCAGTCGGCCCGTACGCCCATGGGAGCACGCAATCCTTCTCGCGGCGGTGTGGCTCAGCCTTTCGTCATGGGCTCCTTCGGACAGCCCGCGTCCAGGACCACTTCTGAGCAACGCTTCGCTGCCTCTAATGCTCGCGGTCCCGCTATGCCGTTTGGCCAGTTCGGCCGTCCTCCTGTCGGCATGGGAGCTCCTTCCATGAGCCGCCCCGGCTCCAATATGGGTATTGGACCCGGAACTCCCC